AATGACTTCATCGCTGCTGATGTCAGGGCGATGGGTCTATAGTCGTTGAGGCAGGAGATGGTGTTGGTTTTGGGAATTGGGATGATGAGGGACTCTTTAAAACACTTTGGTACTAAGCTTTGGCGGAGTGAGTTGTTAAAGATGTTGGTGAAGACCCCAGCCAGTTCTCCAGCACAGTAGTGGAGGACAGCAGGGCTAACGTTGTCAGGGCCAGCGGCTTTGTTCGTCTTCAATCTGCTGAAGGTGCTCCTTACCTCCTCCTCCTGGATGTTGAAAGGAGGGGGAGGGAGGGAGGGGATTCGGAGGAGGTGGTGGTGGAGTTGGGGCCTGCTCAAATCTTTTGTAGAAGTGGTTGAGGTTGTCCGGGAGCTGGTTGTCAGTGTCCGGTATGGTGGAGGGTTTCTTTTTGTAGTTTGTCATGTTTTGTAATTTTTTCCAGGTGGAGCGTGTGTCAGTGGTGGTGATTTGTTTTTCTAGTTTGGAGGCATAGTTGGATTTTGCCCTCCTGCTTTCTGCTCTAAGTTTGTATTTGGCACTCGTATTGTTCTTTATTTCCTAATAAGTATGCAGCATTGTTCTTTTATATCCTTGTCGAACCATGGTTTGTTGTTGTTGTAGGGTATGGTTTTTTTGAACGGTATGCATAGGTCCACGCAGTACGCGATGTATGACGTCACTGCGTCGGTGACGTTGTGGAGGTCACCGGCAGCATGGAAAACTTCCCAGTCCGTACACGCGAAGCAGCCCTGAAGTTTTTCAATAGCCTCCGAGGACCAACACTGCGTTGGCCTGGCTGGTGTTTTGGAGGACTTTTTGTCTGTATTGTGGGATTAGCAGCAGCAGCATTGCATGGTCGGACTTGCCCAGTGGAGCTCTCGGGAAAGCACGGTAAGCCTCTTTGATGGTGGTGTAGCAGTGGTCGGGTGGGAGCCCAGGGAGCTCAAATGAGAGGTTGGTTTGGTTGAAGACCCCTAGGACAATGACTGCTGCGTCCAGGTGTTTACTTTCCATCGAGGATATGTGGTTGGCCAGCTCAGCTGTGATGCTAGTAGTGTTAGCCTCAGGTGAGATGTAAACACAGACGATGATGACTGATGCAAATTCCCTTGGGAGAGATGATGGTCTGCATTTGACTGTAAGGTATTCCAGGTGGGGGGAACATTCATGTGAGAGTTCTGTGGAGTTAGTACACCATCGTTCATTGATCATTATGCAGACACCACCACCTTTTGACTTGTGCAATAGTTCGGGTGATCTATCAGCACAGTGTAGCATGAAACCTGGAGGAGTTACTGCTTGATCGGGAACTGAATGATCAAGCCAGGTCTCTGTCAGGCAGATGGCAGAGCAGTCGCTGTAGTCCTTGTTGGATTGAATCATGAGTTGTAGTTCATCCATTTTGTGACGGAGAGATCTGACATTGGATAGCAGGAGGGCCGGGAGCGGTGGTCGGTACGGGCGTCTCCTGAACCTGGCAAAGGTGCCTAAGCGTCGGCCTTGACTGGGCGGCCGCAGTGGTGTTGAGCGCCTTGCGATGTTCGGCGCGGTGCAAAGTTCGGCGCGGGTGTAACGGATAACACAAGACACTTTGCAGACAAATAACGAGGACATAAGACATGTCTGCAGTCTGCTCTCACACCTGTGAAAACTGAGTCTCCCTCCTCTGCTCCTGAATCTCCTGATTTGACATCCATTCCTTCTGTCTACCATGACTTAGGAGAAGTTTTTAGTAAACAACAAGCTCTTTCTCTGCCTCCTCATCGTCCCTATGACTGTGCCATTGAGATCCTTCCAGGTGCTCCCCTGCCCTCTAATCGACTGTATAACTCGCCCAGAGAGAGAGGCTATGGAAAGATACATTCATGACTCTCTGACCGCAGGAATCATCCGTCCCTCCTCTTCTCCTCTGGGTGCTGGTTTCTTCTTTGTATCCAAAAAGGATAAGACTCTGCAACCATGCATTGACTAACGTGGACTTAACAACATCACCATAAAGAACAAATATCCTTTACCTTTGATCAGTTCTGCTTTCAAGTCTTTACAGGGAGCCACCATCTTCTCCAAACTGGACCTGCAGAATGCCTACCATCTTGTCAGGATCAGAAAGGGAGATGAGTGGAAGACACGTTTCAATACCCCCCTTGGCCACTTTGAATACCTGGTAATGCCTTTTGGACTCACCAATGTAACCATGACAACTGTATTTCTAAACAGCGTAGAATAAATCAAATCATCACACACGTCTGCCTTTGTCAAAAACATCACTTTTTACTGGAGCTTATTTTTCTAATTCCTTTAACATTATCTGCAAAGACAGTCAGATGATACATCTCTGCTGTTTTCTGCAGATTTCTCAGTAACACTATGGCTTTCTGATTGGATGACTATCAACTTGTTCTTTTCTTATCTCTCAAGGTGAAATTTATTCACGACCAGACGTCTGCGAACCCCAAATACAGGGGTTTCTTCCATGGAGTTGGAGAAATAGTCAGACAGCAAGGTAAAGAGCAGCAGCAAAATCATGTGATTTCTCTGCTATCTTCTGGTCAAAGTTGGTGGTGCAGGCTTAGAATCCAGCCATAAATCCAATAAAATGTAAATTCTTCTTGCTGTTTTTGTTCACATAGGTCTAAGAGGATCTTACCAGGGTCTCACTGCCACTGTCCTCAAACAAGGCTCCAACCAGGCCATTCGATTCTTTGTAGTGACCTCTCTGAAGAACTGGTATAAAGGTCAGTCTCTGTAGGATAAAAAAGAATGATAAATGACTTAATTTATTCAGTAAACATTTACAAAGGCAAGTTATAAAGAATATTTTAGTAGGGAAAAAAAGGTTAGATTACCTTAGAAAACTAGTCAGATATCTGAGGGCATGTTGGTGAACTGAACACAACAGTGTGATTACCCCAGCTGCTCAGCAGTGGACAGGGAATAGCTGCAGGGGGTAATAAGAAAATCACCTCTCCTGGGTTTGCACCTTGGTTTCTAAGGTAGTGTTTGATTGGCTTCAGCTTTCTGTGTAAACAGAAACAGTCAGATATCACAAATGAAGGAATAAAATTATATCATATTACTGAACTAATACAATAAATAAATATTTAACCTAAGTTAGAATCATTTCATGGATCCTCATGGCAGTATTGTAGTAGTATTTGGTTTTACACACAATGATTTTTCACATGCAAATCCCTTCACTGTATTTACACTGGGGTTCAGTTTAGATGAAGTCAAAGTTCTTAGAACTATGTCAAGCATTATTATGAGTAACATATGATTGACCTTGTAATGTGACCTTTCACCAGGTGATGACCCCAACAGGGAAATGAAACCCCTGGTGACCGATCTCTTTGGAGCCATAGCAGGAGCAGCCAGTGTGTTTGGAAACACTCCACTGGATGTCATCAAGACCCGGATGCAGGTAGGTCATACGAAGATTGTTTTTGTTTAATAAAAAAAAAAAAAAAATCCAAAAACTCTCCTCCTGCCAAAAGCTGACAGTGGACATCCTTTTCTTTTCCTCAGGGTCTGGAGGCTCATAAATATAAAAGCACAGTTGACTGTGCTGTGAAGATCCTGAGATATGAAGGCTTGGCTGCGTGAGTACACCCCCACTCTGTTTAAGTTGGTGTCACAGCAGGTTCCTTCCTGTTATCTTTAAACCTCAACCCCCTTTATTTGCTTTCTCAGCTTACAAGTGATTTTGTTTTATACTGTATCTGAAGCGTTCCGTGTCCTTAGATCAACCGTTGAATCAGTGACACGTCATAACAATGTCTTTTCCCCTCAGTGATGACACACCAGGGGTTCTCATCTTTGTAACTTTGTCTCTTTTGTTCTTTCTAGTTTCTATAAAGGGACGGTCCCTCGTCTGGGCCGCGTCTGTCTGGACGTGGCCATAGTTTTCATCATCTACGAGGAGGTGGTCAAGGTCCTGAATGCCGTCTGGAAGATGGACTGAAGAGTGTCCCGCTTCCTGCTTTCCTGGGAAACAGACACAGATCCAAGTTTAGTTAAAAAAAAACACAGCTGTATCGTCAAACTTAGAGCGGAGTGTGTCGAGGCGAACAAAGCTGAACTTAGATCAGTGTCTCCTGGAGGAGACAGGAAGTTAGAGAGCTCACAAGAGCTGAAAGAGAAAGAGCGAGTGTGACAAACGTTTAGACAGCTGTGGAGCCTTGGTGGACTGCTGATGAGTCACACAGGTTCACAATGTAGGTTTATCATACATTGACAAGTCCTACATCAATATATTAGTAAAAAAAACTTATTAACCTGGTTAGTTTTTCAAGTTACTTTTCAAATATTTACATTTTTGTCCAGCCTTGTTTCACCAACTAAACTTAACTCTTTCGGTGAAAAGTTGTTTTTTCGCAGCTGGTATACTGATATGCTAATCCTACCCAGTACAATACACAGCTGTCATACTGAGGTAGATTTTAAATGAGTATTACTCTGTGTTGTGCCTACGATGGCGCTGTTTACACTCACAAACAACTGTAGTGGCTTCCATCAACAAGCCTTTATTAGAATGATTTTGCAGTTTTAATACAACATTTATTTTTATACTATGTTCTTAATTTATTAACAGCATTAGAGATGTATTAATATATTTTATTCATGTGCCAAAAGACCAACCTGATACACTGTGAAAAAGTCTATCATTAAAAAACAAATCGAACTGTGATCTCAGCCAACTGATTACAGCTTATGAATATTATTAATTATTTTATATAAATTGGATAATTATATCCATATGAATGACATTTTTTGAGCTGCGATGTCTACTATTTATTGCATTTTTTATTTAGTTTCAAGCCAAATGAGTGACTAAATTCAAAGGGAATTAAAAATTTTATGTTTACAGCTCTAGCGTTAGACTTTCTTTCTTAGCTTAATATTCTCAAAATATAATTGCAAGTGAAAGACAACATGAGTTGGTTCTTTGCAAGCTACCACTTTCCGTTATTTACTTCCACTGGACACCAGTCATGATCGGTAGCTGTTTAACTGTTGGTGAAATTTCTCTTTTAAAGTTTTACTTTTACTCCAAAAACCTCTGGTCAAGTTGTATTTTTTGTCATTGTATCAATTCACTACAATCTAAATGTAGTACCGTCTTGATTGTTTTAAAGTATTTTCCAAACTGCAGAAATAATCACTTTTTATGGGGCCAAAATGTTTGATTTTTTTTTTTTTTTACTGAGTTCAGGTCAAAATACTACTACACATATTTTCTATTCCAATGTGTGTTGAATTGTGATGAATCTTGTGCAATAAACAACAGGTTTTTTTATCCTAGACTCAACATTGTGGGGGATTTAAACACTCAAAAAAGGAGCATTCCATAACTTAAAAGCATTCACGTTGTTGTTCTTTTTTCTCTCTCTCTCTCTGCTTTTCATCTGTTTTTCTCTCCATCTGATAGAAAGTATCATGCTGCAGAAAACCATGGGAGACAGGAAGAAGGAGAACCAGACAGGGAGGTCACTGTTTTTTTTCCCTGTGGATTCCAATTATGTGTCTTCTAATCCATTGTTTCCCAAAGACTGGGTTGCAAGATTTTTTTTTTTTTTGGGGTCATCTCGCATCATGTTTCCCAGGAGTTTACGAATAATGTCTATTGACTTGGGTCGCGAAGGTTTGTGACTTTCACCCATAGGTCTTGTTGGAAGAATTTTATTTATTATCATTGCTTCATGCTGTACTGTCACTTTAAGAAGCTGTTTGTGTTCACACCCACATTCACATCCACCTTCTTACTCCATATCCATCCATATACTCACACATGATCACATGATATGTAATCTGATACTTTTATAAACTCAATAAAAGAGCAAGTAAAAGATCAAGACGTCTTTTGTTTTGTTACTTTGTCGTCGTATATGTTAGTTTGAACCTAACAGTCCCAGAAAAAAAGTTTGGGACTGATTATTTTAGTGTCCAATAATGATAATTTATAATCACTGTTAACGAAGCCTCTTTACAGTTTCTTTGGTATAGACAGTAATTGAAGCTATATTAACTGAAAAAAAATTAATTATATTTCTAATGCATAAATATTACACCTATATATTTGATACTCAAAGTATTACCATTGCCATAGAGTAGCAAAGACACGAAGATCTTCACACACGTGAAGGTAACTGTTATATTAATGTATGTATTAAATATAATGAGTCATTTACAATTGTGTTTATATATGCAGGTTGTTTTCACAGAATTCCATTTAAATGCAGAATAAATTCTGCAAAAAAAACAAACAAAATCCCTCAGATGTTAGCCCTATAGTTATTTACACTTTATAAAGCATTTCAAAACAATACCGTTTTGAAATGCCAAGGAGATCCGATAGAGGGCAGTAATGTCAAACAAAGTCTGCCAACTTGCCAGTAGATCCCAAAGAAGTTGTGATTAGTTAGTCGAATGGTTGGAAACCTAGATGATCTGCATGATATAAATGTCTGAATCCAATTAATTAATTCGTCTTTAATTCGTAGTTTTTTCAACATCTTCAGTTAATTAAAATTACGTCACCACAAGGATCAGTGGACACTTAGTGCTATAGAAGTGGAAATATTGATCACTGTCTCTTCCACGGTCTCTACTCATTTACAACCACTGAAGAGTAAATAATGGCATTGTTCTGTGGTTCTTCTTCTCTCCACAGGAGGGCCTTCTGTACACAACCTTTACAGCGGTGATACTGAAGTTCAGTGGGAAACCTCCTCTTACCTTCATTGTTTCCGCCTTTTTTTAAAAAGATTCACGCTTGTCATCTTAGTCATATGACTCGTGCTCGGAAACCATCAAACCTGACTGAACTGGAGATGTTTTGTAAAGAAGAATGGTCAAAAATACCTTCAACCAGAATCCAGACCCTCATTGGAAGCTATAGGAAGCGTTAGAGGCTGTTATTTCTGCAAAAAGAGGATCTACTACATATTGATGTAATTTTTCTGTTGGAAAAATTACATATGTAGTATATATATATACTGAAATGGCCTGAGATGGCGTCCAACTCACCAGATAACTGGCACACGCGCGGGTAGTCCTCGCAGCAGTCTCCTGTCTTTAGACAGTAGGTGTCACAGTAGCACACCGTTTTCCTCCTGCTGTACTCAGAACACTGGTTTTTCCGACCCGTGCAGCACCTCGGACTCTCTCTTTCCCCACAGCCCGCTTCAACCCGCGGAACCAGGTCCGCGCACAAAAACGCCAAATAGCAACAAACAACGCTCCACCTACTCCACTACCGAGTCATATTAAATATTTGTTCATATTGAACTCACGAATCACTCACAAATCACTCTCTGCAAACTAATCTTTCACTGTGAACTAATCTTTCACTGTGAACTAATCTTTCGCCGTGAACTAATCTTTTGCCATGAACTAATATTTCGCTGTGAACGAATCATTCTCTGTGAACTAATCTTTCGCCGTGAACTAATCTTTTGCCATGAACTAATATTTCGCTGTGAACGAATCATTCTCTGTGAACTAATCTTTCGCCGTGAACTAATCTTTTGCCATGAACTAATATTTCGCTGTGAACGAATCATTCTCTGTGAACTAATCTTTCGCCGTGAACTAATCTTTTGCCATGAACTAATATTTCGCTGTGAACGAATCATTCTCTGTGAACTAATCTTTCGCCGTGAACTAGTGATGTGTCGTTCGCGAGTGATTCGTTCAAAATTAACTTTCTTATGACTCGTGACTCCCGAGTCATATGAAAGATTCGTGACTCGTGACTACCGAGTCATATTAAATATTTGTTCATATTGAACTCACGAATCACTCACAAATCACTCTCTGCAAACTAATCTTCACATGCGAACTAATCACTCACTGCGATCAAATCACACTCTGCGAACTAATCTTTCACTACGAACGAATCACTCTCTTTGAACTAAACTTTCACTGTTAACTAATCTTTCACTACGATCTAATTACTCTGCAAACTAATCTTTCACTGTGAACTAATCTTTCATTGCAAACGAATCACTCTCTGTGAACTAATCATTCATTGCAAACGAATCATTCTCTGTGAACTAATCTTTCGCTGTGCACGAATCATTCTCTGTGAACTAATCTTTCGCCGTGAACTAATCTTTTGCTGTG